CAGAGACCTTTTTCCACTGTGCTGCACCACCTCAGCCGAAGGGCAACTGTACGAGCTCGCAGGTCTTTATTAGTAAGGCCTTCTATTAGACACACCTTCTCTCAAAGACTTTTGCACTTCCATATTTATGAGAAAAAGCAAATTAAACACCACATGTGATAACACCTTTGGAAAAGTTCCCCACCCACCAAATAAATGGTCCAGCTAGCATCACTGATGATCAATAACCACTTTTTCTGTATGTGGTGTGATTGTCATGGTATAAATATGTCAGATGTTGCCATCTTATCATTCCTGCACTCACTTGAGCTTCTGATCTCGGATTATGCCCAATTACGGTACCAATTTGTTTTCTTATCAAGCTATCAAATATAAATTATGAGCGATTAAGCAGCCAATTTGCTGTTTCTGGTGGTCACGACCATCGCATTGCCAGCGGATTTCAATGCTCATACGGCGCCACCGGATCTCAGAGCCTTCGCACCGCTACCAGATCTCGGTGTCAAACAATGGACATGCGATCCTGCAGTGATGGCCAAGTAGGGACCCCTCAGTAACTTCTTTTCAAAATCATTTGCAGACTTTCTTTTGTGATATCTCATGGGACTGGGGAGGAATTTCTTTCTCAAAGGAATGGTCCGCGATGACCTATGAAAGTGCAAGAGGTTGCACGGTAAAGAAATTAAGGCGCAAAGTTGCTTCAGTGGTACATCCCTTTTTCCAGTGACTCCGCCTCCAGACTCCGCCTCCAAAGCCTTCCAGCCAAAAGTAATGCTCCCGGGCAAGTATCATGGAGTGGATGCATTCAATGCCTCTTGTAGAGTCACAGGGTCATTACTGCCTCAGCCAACGAGAATCGTCCTAGCGTTTTCGGTCCTTTGCCTCTACAACTGTCTGAGGCTAGAGGAGGCCAACGAATGCGTTTCCAACGTTCCCTTTGGCATTTTCTCTTCATAGACGGTTCACTTGGCGAATTTTCTTCCACATTTCTGCATCACCTAGGCTTTTTATCGCGGACCGTGCCTTTAATGAGCTAATGAATTGGCCGCTACGAGCATTTTCCTCATTTTCCCTGGCATTTTTCTCTGGGTTGGCAGGAGTTCTCTTTTGTTTTTTCGTTGTACCATCTAAACAGCTTCGCCTTTGTAGGAGCAAAGAGGTTCCGAAGAGTGCCCACAGTGTCCGATTTGCAGATATCAAAGTGATCGCAGCTCTCGGAGATTCACTTACGGTAAGTTCTTCGAAGGTGTTCTCCTTTTCTTCATGCAAGTATTTCTGGTTAACTTCAGGAAAAAAAACATATCGGCTATACCGTGAAAGAATAAATTTCGCCGTGTTCTGTCCGCGCTTTTTGGGATTGGGGGCACGCATTCCACACTTCCATTCAAAATCGTAGTGGCTTTATGACAAAAGAAGTGGCCTACACAATGACTTGGCCGGGGCTCGCCCGACTATTAGGTTGTCCGGAAAGTTCTCAGCGTTTTGGGTGTTTCACTTTAAACGATCGTAACTTTTTTAATACTCATCGGATTTAATCGAAATAGGCACCATTCGAATCAGCACACTTTTGCCAATGTGACAGCAGTCGAGAAAATCTCATCAAAGTAAAAAACTGGGTAGTCGAAAATTCACGAAATCCACTAAGGCTTTTTTGCCTGGTCCTGATTTGATGAAGTATTTTCCTTCCAGCAAGGGAGTTCTGAAAAAAATGTTAAGAAAAAGGTGATAGTCGATAGCGAAAGGTCTGAAGAATATGGCGCGTTTAGATTAGCTTCAACCCCCCAATTAATTCAATTTATTGGATAGTGATTTGTGAAACGTGTGGGCGGGCGTTGTCATGCAAAGGAATCGGACCCTTTCTTTTGATAAGTGTTGGCTGCATCTGACAAAATTTTCGGTACAATTCGTCGATTTCTTCACAGTAGGGTTCTGCTGTGATGGTTTGGCCTGGTGATAAAAAGTTATAGTGGATCACACCAGCCGATGACCACCAAGCCGTGACCAGAATCTTTTTTTCGTGAGGGTTCGGCTTTAAAAATTACCTCGGTGGTTCGTCGAAATCCAACCACTGTCCGGAACGTCTCCTGTTATCATACATGACCCATTTTTCATCACAGGTGACAATTCGGTCCAAAAACAGGTCGTTTCTGCTGCGCAAAAGCAATGCAGAAGGAACCTCGAGACGTGCCGATTCCTGCCGGTCACTCCGATTGTGGGCACCCAATTGTCGAGTTTTTTCACCTTCCCAATGCGTTCCAGACCATCTGCAACAGTGGATTTGCCAAGGCCTAGCTCTTCTGCTATCTCTCGAACTGTTTGGGATGGGTCAGCCTCCAAAATTCCCTAAAATCCTCGTCAGATATTGCTTTTAGGTCAACCGCTATGAGGTTCATCTTCAAGGCTGAAATCTCCAGAACAAAATTTGTTGAGCCATTGCCGCACAGTGCTTTCTCTAGCACTATTGGGCCCCCACACCTGGTTAATTTGTTGAGCTGTTTCGATTGCGGATTGCCCCAATTTATAGTCGAAGAAAAAAATCGTCCGAAGTGCTCTTTTCACATGCTTGAAAAAATCTTGAAAAAAAAGGGGTTTATCAAGCAATGGTGAAACGGCAATTATACCATCAGATAGCGCAAGAAATTCTCTACAGGATGTGCTACTGAGAAGCAAGGCAGAATGAGTTTTAATCAGCAGTGAATGTACAAAAATAGGTGCACAAAAACGCTGGAATCTTTCCGAGCAACCTAATACAAGTCAGTGTTTCATCCTTCCAGACAAATCTGGTACCAATTTGCCGTTCATTTTGCAAGGGTAGAAGGCTTGGTTGGCCTGGGCGGGAGTCGACCCGGGATTCGAACCCAGGACCGCGGCGAATGGTGAGCACCCCACTTGTCACTACACCACCTTCCTGCCGACCAATTCTGGATCTTCTGGTTAACCTTCAGAAAAACATCTCGGCTCTACCGTCAAAATTTGACTTCAGGCTGCTAATGGTGCAAACGCTAGAACGCCGTTGGGGCTTCGCAAGGAGTTTCGTGGACTGGCATTCCAGATTGGAGGCGATATGACGCTTGAGGAGCGCAGCATTACATTCCCAAGTACGTCAACGAATTTCTTCAGAAGCGTCTATTGTTCGTTGCAGAAATGTCTCTTCTTCAGCGGCCTTCATCTCTCAAGGAAGGCAAGTAGCACGATAAATCCTCATGACGCGTAGATTCAATATGCCTAGCAGAACAGAATTCAGCCCCCTTGGGGTTTCAAGAGTAACTTGATCAGAGTAGGCAGTATCCCTCGTGCGCGCACGATGAATCCGCACCTGTGCATGATCCACTTGTTCTTCACTCAGAGTGTGCATGGGACATCGCAGTCAGCCGGGGACGCTGTGAGGAGGCTGGGTTCCTTCTGCGGGTGCCTTTCTCTACCAATGGGTGATCGTAGAGAGGTGATGCAGGATGAAATAAAACCAGAGGCAGGAACCGCGCACATGCCGGGGTTGATTTATCTTTCTTAGAATCAACCCAACTGATTGCGACGATATCACTGTAGGGTAACTGGGATGCCAGAGGCTTGTGGCTTGGGGCTGATCGCGCTTGAATAGACATAATGCTCATAATACACAAACGCTGCCTGGCAGAGTGCCTTTGAAGGCAGTGTTGCACGATAAATCCCAGGACGACTTAAGATCAATAACTCCTGGGCAGAGATAGGATTCCGCGACGGCGCAGTTTGTCGACGGGGGGGGGGGCATTCTGCTTTCCATAGATGTGCCGACCCATCTAGGTAGCCTTTTCTCGAGTTAACACGTTTTAGGATGGTGGCTAGACGATCTTGCAGCTTCACAAGGGTTCACAAGTTTTACCAGGGTGAGATTTGTAAACCGGAACTAGGAAGCAATGTTAGTACAAAATGCCCCCGTCGACAAACAGCCGCCTTCCGCCGACGCAATAGACAGAGCGCTGCATAGCGGTTTCCCCGAGAAGGTGCCCTTATAAGGCCCCATCATGCCAGCAACCTTTTACCAAACAAGCCCGCGCCCGGCTGCCGACGACCGTTCCTGACGCTCGTATTCATTCATTTGCTAAGCAAATTATGAAGCGAAGGATTGGTATGAAGCGGCCGTGATGCTGCATGCATATATGGGTACACATATGCAGCCGTATCTTCGGTAGCGGTGATTGGCAAGATGCCTACGGGAAACTCGTCCGAAATCGATTTTCAAGTCACTGAGAAAGGAGGCTTTTTCTTCGCAGGAACATGACGTTTGACTCCGTTCTTTCGCCATTTCCCCACTATACAGTGCCCTACTAGTATTTTAGGCTAATAAGAAAACCACGTAAACGAATGCCTTTAAATTGTCTTCGCTATGCGCTCGATACATCGTGGATCGCTCTTCTTTAGGAGTACGCGTTTCGTGTTCGAAGTTGAGCTGAAAAGGAGAAACCTTATACAGGAAAACCTTATATGCTTTCTTTCAGTGTTAGACAGAACTCTTAGGTCATACTCATTCAAGTGCCGACACATATAGAAGGAATCAAGAAAAGCAGGGATAGGCCGGGCTACTATACCATTTGGAAGCTAGTACCTTAAGCTGTGTATCTGTGAAATTTGGCGAACCTAGCCTCTGAAGAAGTTCTCGAGAAATTGAAGAGAAGCCCGAGTGGTGAAAATCGGCGCCGGTTTTTCAAATCAGACGTCATAAAAGGAAAGTGCGCTGCTCAAATTTGACCTGCGCCGGACCATAGTTGTGTGTAAGGGTTTCTCGAAACAACAGTGGAAGATTGGTCAGGAGCCCGTACAAGGAAGAAAGGAAAAAAATTGTTGTCGTGGGTGGTCCCATAATATTCATCCTGCACAAGAAAAACGGGTGGATGAAGTCAGGCACTGAATATCTGATCACAGAGCCTGGACCCTTGTCGAGCTTCCCCGCGAGTCTGACATCCCAGCTGCAACTGCTGCCCGAGTTATGTCCGATAAACGGAGGATTT